CTCCCCCCAGATAAAGGGGAGGAATATTTTCCCTTTATTTCCCACTATCCCCAACTAAGTAACAGGACCCCGTAACCCTGAACCCTGCTTTCATGGAACCCCGGAACCTACCGTGCCTGCTGAGTCCGGTGCGCGTGCCTAAACCCTAAATAGTAGTTTCCGTTTCCATTTTCTTTTCCATTATTATCCCAATATAACCTGTATTCTATCTATTTGAGGGGGACTACTTGCCTTGTCCAGCCGAGGTGCCGGCCACACTCTGCATGGCGACGGAGGCTGGGAAATCCACCTGGGTCCCTGCAAAAATTGGGGGGTTCCCAAAATTCGGGGTACTGGGGATATATGATGGGATAGACGGGGGTATGTAGGGTTGAGGGTTTCCCAAAATTTGGGGAAAGGAGGAGATAACGGGATAATGGAAAAGAAACTGAAACTACTATTTAGGGTTTAGGGTTTCCCAAAACTCGGGGTACCTTTTTTGCGGGGCCCCTATACTAAGAATGATAGCATATTAGGGTCTAGACTTGAATCCCCCTATTTGGAAACTACCAAATGGACCTTTCTAGTTCGAGGGTTTTACAATCTTCTAGACCATTCCGACTCTCTAGGCGTCTAGGTCGAACCAGGTCATTAGCAAATGTTTTTGAGGTCACAGGTGTAGGGACAACAATGAGGTCCTCATTCTGGCATTGATATCCTTGAAGATGAAAAGTTACAGCACATGGGATGCATCATCAAGTTTTCGGCAAATACTGTGGGAGCCTAACTTCTTATGCATTTGTTGTGCAGTGAAAACTCCCACATCATATCAGCACCAGCTTTAACAGGGCTGTGCTTTCATGCCTACACTACCCTGCGCAGGTACCCGCGTCCCTCAGCCAGAGGAGCAGAAATTTGTCTCCCAGCGTGCAGTCATGCAATCAGACTTGGAAAACCCTAGCGCCTTAGGATTCTCCAAATTGAAAGTGTCTAGTAGTAAGGCTTGCCATGGTGGGAGCAGTGAATTCGTGTAGGCCCGATGCCAGTGGGCACCTGTGCTAGACGCATGACATCAAGCGGAGCTCCCCGAAAATCTAAGAAGCTCGGCTTCCGCAACGCAGGAGGCGCAAACCCATGAGCCTCCTGCGTCACCACGCCTGTGCCTGAGAAGATGCTCTCGCTTTACATGCAGGGTAGTTCTTTGTAAGGGATCCTATGGGTATCAGGGATTCGATGGGGGCATTGTTACGAAACCCCTGATTCCAAACACGGCTGGGCCTGTAAAAGCTAAACAGTACCTTCTCATCGGCTTGAGTGCAGCTCTTTCTCGCTGGGGGGAATCGGCCTGAAAGTTGACGTGGCAATTCCTTGTTCTGCAATCTGCAAGCCGTATGCAAGCGGTGGAACTCGGGCAAGTTTGGGGATCATTGACAGGCGGGCATTGCAGTTTTGAACCATCGGTCCAGCTAGCTTGGCTTAGTCCACCTTCCCAGGCCTTCCCCACACCAACTTAGGTTTATGGATCAAATCCTGCATGTGTGACATGCAACACAACTAAGGGGAAGCCAAGATAGCAAGGGTACATGGCACTGAAAGGTACACAGGGCGTGGTCAATCTGCGGAGTGCAATGGAAGGCGATCAATCCGATTTCTCCACCCCAAACTCCTACTCTCGTTATCATCGGTAACGCACACTAACGTGCAGACCATAGCAGCTGGTTGCCTTTTGCAGAAAGCTGAACCTGTCCCCAGGTCAGTATTGCAGTTCAACAAGAGGGCCAGAAGCTGTCATGAATCCTACGTTAAGGCAGTTTAGGCCTGACATACAGAATTTGGATTCTAGCCCTATGGTTTATTCGTGCAGTTATCGCTTCTGCCTTTGCGCTTAGGGCCCCCTGAAACCCTAAACCTTAGACCAGGCCCCAGTGCTCATCCATGCGACGTGGCCTCGCCTTTGCGACCCTCCGCTTTGGCCGCCGCTGAGGCGGCTCGCTGGGCCCAGGCAGGAGCTTGAGATGTAAAGATGCAGAGTTCCTGTAAAGATGCATACGTGTAGGGTTTAGTGCGAAGGGGAGACTTATATACATGTGTATGTGTGTGTGTTTGTACAGATAAGGAATGGGTACATATATATATATATAGAGGTAGGGCTTAAGGTTTTCAAAAGTTAGGGGCACTGCCCCCATAATGGAGAATCAAAGGAAGACAAAATGAAAATGGAATGGAAGCTGGATTTAGGTAGTGGCTTAAGAGAGTTGAGGGTTTCCAAAAGTTAGGACGTTGTAGAATTTCCGCTCAGAGCCCAGCATGTGAGTATGCAATGAAGGTAGCAGTACATGGAGTTTGTTTGCTTTTCTGATCATCCGACTGATTGCTCGTGGATGCCTGAAGATGCTTGGAAGAGACACGTATACACAATTGGGGAATCAGCTCCTACAAAATGCCTGGATATCGTCCCACTTAGGAACATGGAGTTCCCCAAAATCATAGTAAGATCCCTATATACCCCATATATCCCCATATTCTCTCTACTCGAAGGGGACTATAGGCCTAGGAGAGCCCACGAGTTGTCGCAATAAGCAGTGAATCCCGAAAGCCACAGGCATGCGCTCGTAGCGCAGGGAAGGCCATGAGTTGTGGTGGGGAGATGGAGGGGGATTCCAAAAATGAGGGTTGATGGGATTATACAGGGATAGGCATTATGTAGGGGTAATGGAAAAGAGGATAGAAGCTACTATTTGGGGTTTAGGTTTTAGGGATATAGAATCACCAACAATGGAGAACCAAATGGAAGAGACAATGGACATTGAAATGGAAATTGGGCGTATACAGGGGTTTATTTGTATTAGTTTAGCAGAAATTAGGGGTACCATTTGCTCAATCCTTATGGGAGGGCTACAAGTACGCATGAGAAGTCTAAAGTCCACCAACATTCCTTCACAGTCATTGTAAACGTCAGCATTTTGTACACGAAGTCCATTGAGTTGGCTTTGTCCGTGCCATGGGCTTGTTTTGCCATGTAGGGATTCTATCAAAAAACTGCGGGTCCCGGCGTGAATTCCTCACTACTGGAGACCATCTTGCGGTAATTGCGTTGAGGGTACATAAAGAGCCCCTTCTTTCATGGTGTTGGTCTTGTTGGGACTCATCTCTGCGTGGGCATATGTCCGGACCCTCTTTCTATGGTATAACAACACTCTTGGGCGTATCGGCGAGACAAACGCAGAGGGAACCACCCTGCGCAAGGGGAACGCCGAAAACGGAAGAGCCTGCTAGCCCATGTTTGTTTGAGCATCCTTCTTGGAGTGCTTGAGCTGGAAGGAGGACGGTCATAAGAAACAGATTGAGACAAAAGTTCAGGATGTAATGTCCCGAGCAGAGTGTTGCTTGATGTTGCTTGACTCTTCTCAGCCATCTTATCTGTAAGCGCCACCAGAAGTCGCTGTTTGCTACTTTGTCCTCGTTCCGTTGTACTTGGAACTAGGCTGTTGGCTGTGCAGGCGACTGACTCGCCAAGAGCATGGCAAGGAGTTGCTTGGCGCGAGGCTGGGTGGGGATTCAGCTAAGTTTGCGGAAGGATTGTAGGTCTCCTTCAACTTGGAACCCCAGGTGGGGAACCTGTTAAAGCGTCCATACAATAGATTTCCCTTGCCTAAATTTCCCTCGCCCAGTCCACACAGGCAGAGCTTCCTGCCCCAAGGGCAAGCCAATGTCAGATCTGAGGCAAAAGGTGCTTAAGCTGCTGGTTCTTCGTAGGGAAGAAGGGAGTATAACCCCTATATTACATACTCCCGACATAGTATGTCCCCTTGTTCCCTGCCAAGAACCCGTATGTTAAGTGACAGCTGGCAGAGCTTGGATAGCCCACAAAAACTGTTGATCGTCGAGTTGTCTCCATGAGCTTTAGCCTAAACTAAACTCCTTAACGGAGGGTTATGTAGGGGATTATACTTGGGAGCATTCTAAGGGTTATTAAGGTGGATACTAGGAGTTTATTTAGACCATGGCCCACATGAGATCCTTAAAAAGCAGAGCTTTTTTCATGGCGAACTTGTGACAAGTATGAGTCCACTAAGGACTTCTTTGTCGTTGTCAGGGGGGTAGAAAAGGTGACCCATCTGTGAGAAATCCCCAGAACGTGGATCCTCACAAAAACGCCTGACAAAACCAAAGGCAGACTTGTGAGGAAGTGGTCCAACTGGCCCCTTTTCAAAACAACCCCTCAAGAACAGCCCAAATAATCCACTTTTGAGCTCCATGTGTACTTCAGATTCTACACAAAGAAATCGTATCACCCCTCAGACCTACAGTATGAAATCCTATCTTCAACAGCTCTTTAGAATTTGAGCTGCGCAAGAAAAAGAGCAAAGAGAACCTCTTCTCTAGTAGTCTCCAAAACGCCCCTCCCCCCTGCTATTACTACGATTACGACTGCTACGACTGCTACTACTCAAATCATCCTCTAAATGAACAGGCTCCGGAGGCCAAGCAAGCTCCAACTGCCCGGGACCTGCAGAGCTTGCAATAGCTTACGGCTGGTGGACAAATTTATCCTATTACTTTCGTATGTACCGGCCCTACTGAAGAAGCCACTGTCCTCATGGCCTCGGATTATCTGGCTTTAAGAGGCAAAAGGGCTTATCCATCAGGAGAATCTTGGTGGTTCTACTTCCAGTAGGTCTGGCAAGTCGCTTGTTATTGTTGCAACAGCAGCAGCCGTATTTGTAAGTTGCTTGTGGACATGATGGTTGGATTGCAGGACTCATGTGGCAGTTTGCCAACATAGGGGATGCCAAGATAGACTCCATTATACCATAATCCTTATTACTGGGGGCCCAAAAAGGTACCCCTAATTTTGGGAAACCCCCATGTAAAGCTTGGCTGCGTGGTGTGTCATCGAAAGTATAGCATTCCAAGGGCACCCCTGAAATATGAGTATGCTCTATGTGAGCCATAATCTAAACAACTAATAGGGGGTTATGTAAGGGATTCTATGGGGGACTACTGTAGAGATATTAAGGTTTAGATTATGGTTCATATGAGGGTTCTTTATGCAAGAACCCCCCCCCCCTGTTGCAAGCTTGATTTATCTTCTTTCTGCAGCCACCGCTCACTGCATCAACACCTGTAGTGGTAACTTCGTGCAGTTGCGTGCGCGGCAGCCAGCCAAAGACAGGCAATGAGGGCTGCGAACCAGCCATAAGCAACCCAACCCACAACATCTTACCCGAAACAGCATGCATTAGTCACTTCCCAGCCCATGGAAGATGCAGCACAAACCTATTGACACGTTTTGCCATGGCCAGTATAGGCGGCTGTATTCGGATAGCTTCAACTTCAACAACCACAAACGCTTTTCGACGGAAGGCACGGGAGGCTTCCATAGATTTCTGAGCGTGGAACTGCCAAAAACAATCCCAAAACAGGCAAAAAACAAAGTGGTTTGGGCAGCAATGGACCTTCGAAAGCAGCAGCACCTTCAGCTTTTCAGCTTAGGCCACGATGTTTTGGGAGCCCGTTGTGAGCGAGTTTGCACCTCAGACATTACCTGACCTAGGACCTAGGACGGCTCAGACGTGCGTAGCACTTGCGGCCACGTGTATATGCACTCTTGCTGAAGCGGCTCAGGCCCAGATCGGCTACAGCAAGCAGTGTCTCTCAGCCAGTGGTATCAAACAGTATACTCAACACGCGCGGCCGGCTGATTAAGCTATGCCTTACCTGTTTGAGACTAGAGATGCATATGTTGTGAGAACTGTTGAACAACACGTCATGGCAGGCCGACGAAGCTGGCAAGCAGCCCGTCCAGAAGAGCTGTAGTAGGCCCAGCGGCTCAGATGACTTTCAACGCCTTACCCACATGTTCAGCAACGTCACGTTTCTACCTCTGTCACAATTGCCAATGAAGGTTTCAATATGAAGTGCGCATTCTCACAGTCTCTTGCACTTTTCTGCACCTGCAAGACCCTGAGTTCTGCTCCCAATCTCAACAAACTTCGGCTGGAGCTGGCTGGTTACATTCCTGCCTTGGCCCCCGCTTGTGCTTTGAAGCTCGGATTGTCACAGCCATCATTTGAGAATGAACGACTGAAACCTCTAGCCCGGCAGGTCAGCAGCCGGATCCCTACTTGCAAAAGCCTCGGGGGGGGGGGCGCCCGGATTCAGCCCCACCATTTACGTCACAAGCATCGTACGGGTAAATATTGAGGAAGGAGTAGCTCGCTAAATCTTCGCGGCCAAGATCTTCTTCCCAGGGGACCCAGAGCATACTGCGTGCGTGCTCTTGGTGGATTCACATGAGCGACCGCCTTTGTTATCGTGTAGGAGCCCAGGGCAAGCAGAGACACAAGTGCTTGGCTATGAACAAAACGATAGTAAAACGATAATGCCCCCAAAAATACTCCAAATTGGGCAACTCAGAAGTTAAGCTTCCAGGGAAGGGATCTGGCAAGATGCTGTAGAGCAATGAGTATGAAAACCGCAGTGAGCCAAAACCCTGTAAAACAAAATCAAAACGATACCCTCGATCCTTTAGTTAGTTGTTTATAAGCCATTTACGCAGCTCTTGGCAACTCTTGCTATTGCTTGTCTTGGGCAAGGTTGTCACCAGCTGCCCAAGTTGTTCACAGTCGTTATTGCAGAGGCCTCTTTCCGAAGTGTCGGGTAGCTTGGCAAAAGGCGGCCTAAAACCTGTATACTGGCCCACTGACAGAAACATGATGATTAAGAGCGCCGCGCTTCTGACTTCACGTTTGGCATGGCCATGTGGCAGATCCTGTGTCAAGAGAAGCCAT